CCCGAGATGCCCGAGGGGGCGGGGCTACGGTCGCACGCATGCGCAGGAGGGGAGCCGCCGTCCAGTGCTGGAGGCTGCGCGGTGAGTCCGACCCGCTCCCGACTCGCCTACTTTGAGGGCGTTCCCGTTTGGGGGCCTTGGAAGGCGGTGGGCGGAAGTGGGTCCAGGCCCGGTGTCCTGGAGCTGCGAGGCTGCGGCTGGAGACGCATTCTATCTCCAGAGCAAAGACGCCCTGATTGAAATGTCACATGACATATAATGTCACGTGCCTTTAGGACTAGTAAAAATTACCGTGATTTCCGGGAAATGTGGAAAAAAAATGTAGTTATGTAGGAATCTTTTAACTATAAGACATTATACTGGAAAACATGGGAAACCTCGTCTATTCCTATTTGATCTGGAAAAGCACAGAATTTAACATCAAGTGACCAAAGCTTGACTCAGCCACTGATTCATAGAGGCTCAGTCCTTTCCCCTAATTGAGCCAGTTACAGCCCAGAAGCCTTTAATTGAAGGGAAGGCCAGGGCCCTTTGGGGAATGACCCAGGAACACTCCTGAAAATGTATAGGGTTATTGTTTCTTCTAGGTATCCCCACAGGGAAGATGCAGTTAGACCCACCATCAAAAGAACAAGAGTGGGGAAGAGCTCAAAGCTACAACACAAAGGCAGCCGTTAAATTTTGCAAAATACACAACTTATGGGTAAAGAGTGAACAGGAGAATAAAGATAAAAGGTAAGAAAATTACTGCAGAAGCCTCAACACCTAACAAATGCCAATGGGAGAAAAATAGTAGGAGAGGACTATCCAAAGACATAACCCAGGACAGAGTTCCATGCAGCTCCCAATGTCAATTCTCTGAATGAAGCCCAGGCCAGATTATACGATGAAATAAGAGTGCACCCAATGGAGGAATGATAAAATTTTCCAGGGACAGCAAAGAAACCATATAGTAAGGTGATTATCAGGCTAACAGAATTTGTAAAAGCAATGAGGAGTCAAAATTCTAAGGACAATGATTTTTTTTTTCTTGTTCCTCCTTTTAAAAACTTATTTGTGCCTGGCGTGGTGGCTCATGCCTGTAATCCCAGCACTCAGGAGGCTGAGGCAGGAGGATCGCTGTGAGTTCCAGACCAGCCTGGGCTACATCGTGAGTTCCAGGTCATTCTCAACTACATAGTGAGACCCTGTCTCAAAAGACCAAAATTATTTGTTTGTTTATTGGACAGCATCTTCACAAATTCTGCTTTGAATTTGTGATCCTCGTGCCTCAGTCTCCTGAGCAGCTGGGAACACAGGAGTGAGCCTGGATGGGCCAGTTATTTCTAATGTGGAATTCCTTGTTTACCAATAGATGGTCAAATTTGAGGTAAGGATACTGGCATTTTTAGGCATTCAAAGCCTCAAGAGTCTCACCTCTGTAACTGTCATACGCAGCACCTGGGCGTGTGCTCAGGGTTAAGTGAAATAAATCGGACACACGTGTAAACATCTCATTGTTTCTCTGGTGTGAGAAACTGAAAGTGTAAAAGGGACTGGAATATATAATGGAGAATGTGAAATAGGAAGACAAAGTTCAAATTGGAAGGGTTACTGGGGAGGAGGCACGAGGAAAGCAGGAAAGGTGAAGAAGGGAAAAAAAGATAAGAAAGATAAAATGTAAACAAAGCTTTTGTAAATAAGCAGGGGAAAAGGACTGAAGGGAGAAGAGGGGATATATATCACGTACAGGTACCAATTCCATATGATGAATGTCATCTTTAGATATATCTAAAGTGTACCAACAAACAGTTAAGAATTTTTTTCTGGAACAGTTTGCTTATGGCGCCTTACAGGAACAATTTGGTAAATTAATATGTGAGTGGATGACCTCTGGGAGTTCAGACTGTGGGCTAGAAGAGAAACTCTTTGTCAGCGCTGTTTATGAATCCTGTTTTCATGATCATTGTATAGAATTAAGCCTGGGCCAGGATACTCTCCTCCTTTGCATTTCAGAAAGGGCTCCTGTCTTCTGGGTGGTGAAAGGAATTTACTAATGACCACTACATATACTTAGTACTTGTGTTCTGAGCTTTGGCTTCGTTGGACTTGCCCTTCGGGAGGATGCAGAAGGACTGCATTCTGTAGCCATCCCTGTGCTGGTGGAGGACCCCATACTCTTTCAGGGTACAAATGAGATTCTCAGTGAAGAGAGGGGACTGGGGTTTGGCAGGCTAATTCGGCCCAGACTGGACAGGATGGTGTTGTTTTCCCATGAAGGTGTGTAAAGAGACCATTGTTTATCACAAAAGTATAGAGTAGGGGTGATAGATGCTACAGCCCCCAAGTTCTGACTCCATGTGAGACTGTATTAGCTAGGGATAAGATGGCCCTAATGTGCACACACTTGGTGTCCATACCTCTGTTCCGATTTCACTTCTTCAGGAAGCCTTCCAGAGCCCAAGTTTAGGTCACCTTTCTGTGTGCACTACTCCCATTACCTTAGATCAAGTGAGTCAGAGGGTCATGATGTCCCTCCCTGTGACGAGGGTCCAGTGCATGTCTCCCACACAGGGATGTTCACTGCCTGAGAAGAGAAATCTTCCTTGTTTTCCATTAGTATTAAATCATGGCACATAGTCAAACATAGTCCATAAATATTTGCTTACTGTGTCACCGGGCAGCTGGAGAAAGAGAAGGTGATGTGTTGATGTTATGACGGGAGAGGACGGGAAAACTAGGAATCGTGAAGTTCCAGGTGGGGAGAAGAATGAGCATGAGGGTGGGTACCAGGCAGTCTGGGGTTAGTTCCTTGAGCCTGTGGTCACTTAGACAGTTATCAGAGTTAGAATTCTAATTGGAGGGACTTGTGAACCCACAGGGAGGGGTTTCTCTCTGGACACAGCATGCAGTCTGTAGGGAATATGGATTGTTACGATGCCACAGGAAGAGGTCGAGGCAGGGGTTGGGATTTAGAACGCGTTGGTATGGACCATAGACTCGAAGGCACCCAGCACAACTGCACCCTTCAGTCTTCTCCTGCAGTCCTGGGAAATGCATTTGATGTCCACCAAGGAATAGGGGCACAGAGGCCACCCATTCTACAGTTCCAGAAGTTGGTGCTCCAAGAAATCAGGTTAGTAATAGAGCCAGGGAGAGAACACAGGTTTATGCTCTCCAGTTGCTTACCCCATGCATCCTCTAACGCCAGCAGGCTCCACATCTAATGATTCCGAGATGGGGAGATGATCTAGGTTAGCCATGGAGGATCAGTATAATTGTAAGGGCAGGAAAGTCAGAGAAGGGAATCTGGTGACAGCAGCAGCCATCAGAGGGGAGAAAAGATACCTCATCGATACCCTTGAAGATGGAAAGTGCTACCTGGGGATGCGGCTGGATGCCAGAGACTGGAAAAGACATAAGGAGCCTCTAGGAAGCAGCTCTGCTGGGCAATGTATATACTGCCTGACAGGTAACATTTGCACCATCAACCCTGGTCCTTGCCCTTCACCTTCCCCACTCCAGTGCCTCTGTTCCCAGAAGCCAAGACCTCAAAGACTATTCTTTCTTCTCCCCCAACATTCCCAGTCTTCCTCTTCCTTACCCTTAGAGCCCAGCTTACATGGGACATTCCATGTTACTCTTTCCCCTCGGTTAGGGACATAGCATCCTATTCAGCATGCTGTCCCTTTGCCTTATGGTAGTGGTCTACAGAGCACATGTCACCACCATGTTATCAGATCTTATTTGCCCCTTGCTGGATGTAGGCTCTGTGGTTCTTAGGTCTCACTGGGCTAATTTTTCACGGATGCCTGCCAAGCATCTACAACAATGCTGGGAACATCAAAGAACCACAATGGATGCTAATTAAATGGATGGATGTCCATGGATGTTATAAAACACAGATTGTGGTTGAAGAGCATCAAGTATGCTGGTCATTCTCCAAACGGTTAGGTTCTGCACCCTTTCCTGGTTTGCACAGCCCAGACCCTCTGGGTGGCTGACTGCCTTTGCCCCGGCAGTAAGAGGGACTATGGGAAGAGGGAGATTTGAAGCAGTTTTCCCAGGTCCTTGGGAGCTCCTCTCCCAGAGAATACAGCCTCCTCATCCCTTGTCAGTCTTAGGATTTCACGATAAATTTATCTTTATTCCAGGTATATTTGCTCCAAGAAAAAACTAAAGACAACTTAAGTGGACTAATATCATTAAACATTCTTCACGCCTAATAGAGCAAGATTTTAAAAGAAAGGACAGTCTGGGGAAATTTTCTAAAATACGAAAAGTACAGGATTAAATTATATTAAATTATGATTTATCACTTATAATCCACAGCAAAAAGTGAAGTTCATGAAAATAAACTGAGGAATGTTTTATAAAGGTACTTATAAATTCAAATTGCAACGTAACAATTCCAGAACATTTTATGCTTATTAAATAGAAGAAATAATTTTTAATTATGAAAGAATTATAGAAATACAAGACAGACTCCCATTTTTGCTGCTATCCCCTCTGCAGGCTCTGCAGAATTAGCGGAAACCATGACCCCAGACTTCCATAGGGAGCTGTTCACCACTACCTTCAACCTGGAGCTGATCACAAACAGACCAGCACCATGGATAGATGAAAACATGATTCTGAATGACC